TAGCAGGCATCGTCGCGATGACATGTCAAAAGATCGTAGAGCTCTTCGTCCGGGCTTTCACAGGCAGGTGCAGCTGAGCTAGGAGTTTCCATGGTGACATAGGGAGGGAAGCTGCATAATCATTGCCCAAGCTTGATCCCAAACATAACTTGATGCAGACACACAACCATGAGCGAAGATAATGCTCATCGCCCTCGATCTATCTAGAGCCTCTCCAATTCTTTGAGCTTCCGGCGCCCTCGCCAATGTCGTGGCTGAGTCCACGAACGAGTCGGCTTGGGGTAGAACCTGGCATTGCACATAGCTTGTGGCTTTCTAGGGGTTTCTCGGGCTTCAGAGTAACAAGCAATGATTGGGTTCTTTTGCAGACCCCCAGCCAGATAAGCAGCACGGTTGAAAGACCCCAGTAATTAGGAGTGCACACATTTGCGGCCATTTGCCACAAATCAGCTTCAGGGCGGATGCTCCAACGATGCAGGTTCTGCCCGCACCATCTAGCAATCTCCCAGGAAACAGCGGAACACTAGCCGGTTTTGGGCTTCATTCCTTTCTTGGCTGAGGCTTTAACCTTGGGCTTCGGACCCTCAGTCGTTGCCTTTGGCGCGGGCCTTCCCTTGGGTTGCTCGGAACTCACCTCGTTCTTGTCGTAGAACTTCTTGGCGGTCCTACGAACGGGATTGTTTGAAGGGCAGAACATTCGACCCAACAGAAACAGCCACGACACATTGGCAACTTTAGCAGAACCCGAATAGCCCAGCAATACATGTCTCAGGAAGTTTGGCGCTGCTGCTGCATGCTGCTCCTGATCTTCATCTCGGTCGCTGATGCTCGGGAGCACCTGGGCCGGAGAGGTTAACTATGTAAAGGGGTCGTATGGCACCGGGTTGATCTGAGACGAAGACACAACAGTCACCTCCTTGATGCGAGCTTCCATGGACTTGTAGATCCTTAATTAGTGGGACTGGGTTTGTGTTTTTGCAAAGCTGCTAACCATTGCTCAGTGCATAAATACATACAAGGCAAGCAGCTCCTCACTCATGCCCTGAGAATCAGCCTTGGCCTTCTCGTCGCAGCACTTGTCATACTGGGTCTCCATGTCTTTGATCTGGGTTTCCAAGCCACTTGTGCACCTGGGCTGCAGGATTCGTCTAGGAGGGAATATTGGCAAGAGGGACTATAGGACTTCGGGTCTTAGAGGGTGGTTATCCAACATATTTTCAGGCTCGCGTCTTCGTGGTTTCGGCATCCTTCTTGTATTTTTTCTGCAACTCACGAATGAGGGCTCGAAGCTTCGAGATCTTTGTCATGGTGGATTCCATTTGCTTCTCCAGGGTTGCTTTGGTCTGAGCGTGCAGAAATTGAGCAATCTCAGGAACCTTCCTCTAGCAATTATTCTAGCCTTATAACTATATATACTTTCATAACAAACCTTACAACACCATAAGCCAGCCTGGCTCCACTTGTGTGCGGAGTGGTCCACGGCAGGGGCCGGGGTGGCTGCAACCGGCTCCATACGAGCACTCAAATCTTCGAGAGCCTTGAAACTCTCGAGGCCCTTTGGCACCTCGGGCACATCCTCAACCTGGCCACGAGGTTCCGTGGCGGTCTATATAGGGCTTTAAGGGTTTATAGAGTTTATACAGGAGGAACTGGTATGGGATTGTTTGTGCACGGGTCTGTTTATCACACTCCCTCCCTCTCTTCTTTATTTACCGTATTTATGGATCTTCTGTATCCCTCTCTCTGCCTCTCTCCCTCTCTCTGTATGATGTGTATACATGTGTATTTATTCATATATAAACATATATATATATATGTACAGGTTTGTCAAATTAAATAAATATATATATATATATATGCATATGAATATGTATATATATATATATATAGCCCGTCCATTTATCTCTCTCCCTCTCTCACTTTCACTACCTCGCACTCTCTCTCTGCATCTCTCTCTTTCTCTCTCTCTCTCTCTCTCTCTGGCTCTCTCTCTGCTGACAGAAAGTCACGATTCACCGAAACCTCCTTGATCTTCTTGTGCGACTCTTCGTAGGAGTGCGTGTGCTTCCGTTTTCCGGATTCACGGACTGTGACCCAGAACTCCTCCTGCCCATCGTAGGCATTCAACCTTCCGGGAAATATTCTGAAAGATCGATGCCCTGCTAGCTTGCATATATGGTAAGGACCCGAGCCTCACATGCGAGGCACCCTTGGCCCTACAAGCCGCAACAGCACCATCCGCTTTCTTCCTTGATGCAGACAGCATGTTAGGAACATTGGTCCTAGCCGTGGGATACTGTCTGTGCCTAGCTTGAAACTAACGAATACAAGAATCTCCGACCAGCCCAACTCGTTCACCATCTCATCTCGTGAGTACCAGCCTTCTTCCACTTGAAGCTGAACCTTGTTCTGCTTTTTGATCTCGATCTGCAAGGTGGCCACGAACTGTGCCTCGGCAGCGACGGGGCATTGGAAGTGATCTTGGCATGCAATCATTTTAATGCAGGAGCATGTTTTGGGCCAAATGGTGTTTATAGGGACTATATATATATATATATAGGGGGTCCTTTAAACTGGTTTGTGGTGCTGATTCTCGGATGATTGCTCGTGGGCCCCAGGGCTTTGCATTGTTTGAACTGAGAGGAAGCTTCGGAGCCTTGTGGATTTATGATTGGTCGGTATGGTGCGAAACCTTGAACCCCCAAAAAAGCAGTAAACCTTTGCTTGGTCGGTATTGAAACCCTGAACCCGAAAACCCCTATAAACCCTTTAATCCTTTCTAGATCCTGCATGAGAGCTACCTTGTCGAAGTTAACTCGCTGAAGCAGCTGCGCCATTTCCGTGCGCTTGCCGCTCTCCCATTGCTCTCTTACGAAAGCAGGTACCTGAAGATCCTTTCTGCGACTTTTCTCCTTGACCATACGGGCTATTCTGGCCTTGGCGGCCCGGAGTAAGCGCTCCTCGGAACATCAGGCTACACATTTATATGTTTCGTGATGACATCGATTGTTGAAAGAGCTAAAAGTCAAGGCTCTTGCCGGCTGATAACCCGAACCTTCTTGCCGGCCTCATCCGGCTCTGTCTTGATCGTTCCATCCTCCCCTGCTTCTTCTGACTTGTCATCATCAGACAGCAAGCCGGTGAGGGCGAGGTACATGTCCATAGCCGAGGCCTGCAAGCATCCCATAAATGTCGAGTACCATAATATATAGTGGGAAAAGAAGAAGAAGCGACACAGTATACACCTATTTTAAATTATTGATACATCTATATGACTCCATATACATATATATATATATGTACAGGCGATGTACACAGGGCTCATATATATATATATATATATATACATACATATATAGCTGAGAGGGTTGCAGGACTTAAGGGTCTATATAGACAGGGTTAAGTAGAAAGACCCCCAAAGCCCAAACCGATCAAAGGATAAACCCCGAAACCCATTCCGTAAGAGCAGCCTTCTCCAGCTCCGCATCACATTCTGCATCGTCAGCCTCCCAGGTGCAAACAAGATAGCTGGTGTCCCCACTACAAGAGAGAGCTCTATATGGATTGCGAATACAAACACATCGCCTCCTCGAAGGCTTCCACATCCACTACTGTATAGGCATCATTCTTGCAAGGAGAAGGACCAGGTTCTTCAGAGACTTCGGGTCCAGCGGTCGCGGGGGCAATGTTCTTCTGAGGATTGTCGGAATCCACAAGGGTATCAAGGCCCGAACCCAAGCCAGCTTGCAGAAGCTCATCAACCGAAGCCTCCATTACAGGATATATGTGTTTGCACAAGACTTTGTACTTTAGCGAAAAGCAGCACCAGTCAACAATCAGCCCAGGAATCTCACCGGCAGCGTTTCCGGTGCATCATCGTCATCTGCCATCTGCTGCAGCTGCAGATACGAGGATGCCTTGGCGAAGGCAGAATGAGGTCTTGTTTCTGAGGCACAGTTTTTGCAAAGGCATCCGAGCATGTGTGTGTGTGTTGCATGCGGGGCCCTGGCCTTATCCTCTTGGAGCTGTAGCTCTAAGTCCTGGGTTGAGATCTCAGACTGCACTCAAAAGATACTGCGTGCGCATGATGCGTGCTTGATATACAACACAAAGGTCCAGTCCTGCATCTCTAGCAGCATCTGCTCCACAGTAAGTTCCGACGATGCACTTTCGACATGTGCAACACCATCCTCAAGCGTCGAACAGCTCCATAGCTTCGACACTGGGCCCTTCGTCATCACTATCCCAGCACCCCTAACCAAAGATCAAGAACTTAAAGCCTCAGCAATGGACAAGCAGGTGTGCATCAAGCTGCATCAATCTGTTCTGCCGTAACTGGATCAGATGCACAAAATATATATGCAGCTTGGACGGCAGCATTTGCAAGCTTTTCGGAAGTTTGCTTATTGTGCTGCGGGCAATTCCAGCAGCCACAACGAATTGCGAATTAAAACCCCGCAGAAGCCCGTGAAAAACTCTGGCCAAAAGCTACCAAAATATGTTGATTTGTGTTAGAAACCGTACACCCTAAACCCGGGGTTTACCCATGACGCGGTCACGGCTTGGGGACGGGTCTGGCACGCTTAGGGCACGGGTAGGTCACGGGTTGGGCCAAACCCCGGGTTTGCTCAAACCCCAGGTTTGCTAGGCCAAATCACGGGTTCAGGGGTCCCAGGAGATAGGCAGAACCGGGGTTTGTGGTATCAGAACCCGGGTTTAGCTAGCCAGGTCACGGGTTAAATCACGGGTTAGAGCTCCCCTCTAAGTACCCCGTAAGATAATAGTTGTAAAACCACGAAAAAGCGCCCAAAAAAAACAAAAAGCCTACAAAAGCGTTAAACAACCAGGCCCTCCATCCCACCTAAAACCCAAAATCCCGCAGGCCAAAGTACATTCCGAACAGGATCCAAAGTGCATCCTAGATAACAATATGACCCATAACCCTATAAACCCCAAACTACACTGGCCCAGGTATTCTAAATCGGTTTGCACTGAGGACTCTAAAGGCTTGCTGGTATGACGGCCCGCCACATCTCTGGCAGCCTGAGCTTCCGCCCTCCCCTCAAGTACCTGTACACATCCGGAAGATCTGCAAACTGAAAATTGTCATCCTCACCTGTCATCAGAACAGAGAGCTGTTCCGGGCCCGACGGAATATTCTCCGGCTCTTGAGGACATCCTTTGCGGTGGGCCTTCAGATCCTGGCTGATCCTCACGAGCTCGGCACAGAAGGCGGCTGGATACTTCCTCGGAAAGACAGGGGATGTTAGGTTCTTAGGGTTCTTAAGTTTGTTGTTGTCGGCCGGGATTAAAAGGATTCAGGGCTCGAGTTGGCATTGTTATGCTTGCGACAGGGCTGGCTAAACTGGCTTTCAAGTCGGGGTAATCGGGCCTCGGGGCTACTCCCTAATACCTGGCTCGAAATATTTCTATGACGATTACACATTACATACGTGGTTGCTTACTGAAAATCAAGATAAGGATCCCCGTGTCTTCCAGAAACCGGGTTCCAGTATACTTCTCCTTGCCACCATGAACCCGAGTCCTTTTCGTGGTGTTCGACCGAACCCCAAATCGACCCATCATCAAGCGGCCTTTGTTGAGTATCCCAACCTTGGAGCTGTTGGAATACATGTATTGCCTCTTCGGTGTCTTGCTGAGAAAGTGAGCCATCCAGAACGAAACTCGAGTCACCTTAACTAGCAACAGTACACAGAAACAGACAAGTAAATTCCCATGCATATATACATTGCTCAGAACGATCGACAACTCTAAGGGTTGGGCCGCATATGGTCCACCAGCACTGAAAACACTCCTCATCATGGCCCGAAAGCAGGGGTAATACTCCAAAGTCGATCCAGCCGGTTGCTCGACGGTCCAGGTGCAATTCACCGCGGTGCAGAGCAAGATGAGCAATGTGGTCCTGCAGCACCGGTTATTTAGGGTTTCTAGGGTTTGGGGCCGGTAGGGTAGTTTATCGGCTTACAGAGAAAGATAGTATTGGGTTTACTGGGTTTGTGAAATGTTGTAACCTTATATGGGTATATGTAGAACTATATAACCTATATATTTATAAGTATATGGGTGTATATAGGCTTTGGCATGTTTACAGATTTGCATAAGTCTATAGATGTTGCTCTGGTTTGGAGGAAAGATCCGGGCTTTAAGTGGGCTATATAGCAGGTGAGATTGAAGTGGGTCCGGTATCGATTTTGTTCAAACCTACATATGAAGAATCTGTCCTTTCCAACAGCTTGTTGGATGCCCCGACACTCGGGAGACCAATGTATCCCAACGGCGTACATGCCGATCGACCACTGGTGCCACGGTTGAGGCCACAGAAGGACCCACATTTTATCCCGAAGTGCACAAGACCAGTACCATCGGCAAGCTTCAGAATGTACAGGATCGCCAAACTTAGAGCAATGCTACGTTCAACCCTCACACACAACATGTAAAGAGAAACACTCCGCATCAGAACGAATGCTAACGAGCTGCGCGAATCCACTGCTGGAGTTCAGATCCATGAAATTAGACTTCTGTCCCCGAGAAGAAGCATCCTTAATATCGAAGCGTGCAGACTTGTATCTACCCAAAGCACGCATCATCCGATACATTGTCCCACAACCAGCGAAGAACTCCAAGAACTCGTAGTCCTGGGGAGGGCAGTTTTGATTTTTCCAAGTAGGAGGGTTCATCAATCTAACAAGATCAGGCCTGGGTCAAGGTAGTGGAATCGACACTCCAAATAGTCAAGAGGACCGTGAGGATGAAGTCCTGTCCCAAGGAATTCGCAAAGTACTCTACCTCCCTAAGTGCCCCTATCGAGCCCTACATGAAGAGATAGCATTTGTGCCTTTGGGGCTTCCAGCTGAATCAACCGCCAGCAAAGGATATCGACATCCATCATGGCCGGCATCCGATGGTGGAAGGACTGGGCTGTGGATCTATCTAGTGAATGATTACAAGATGCCCCAAATGAAGTGCTGTATATGGCTCCCATTGGACCATGAAGTATATTCAATTGAACTTCTCTGAAAAGTTTTAAATCCCCTGAAGCTCGGTGCTTGTACACATGCCATGGACTTGAATCACAGCATATATATATGAACAGTTTCGCACATCGACAAATGCTCACATCCACTCGTGCCATTCAGCAAAGCCTGATTTGCAAACATGCTGGGGGCACGAACCTGGCGCCTCTGCTCCAGGCGGAACTTCCAGAGCTGCGATGCTTTGAGGAGCAGCGGCATGACTCGGGCCTCGGCAAGGGTATCTATCGATACTATCTAATATATAATATATCTATATATATATATATATGTATATCTATTTATAGCCTTTTCTAAAATATATCTTTATATATATTTTTTTTTATTTAAAGATGTATGTATGTATATGTATACCTGTGTATATATAATCCCTACATACACCCTCAACCGTATATATATATATATATATATATATATATAAGTAGTATTTCATTTAAGATAGGTAGCTTCGGTTTCAATGGAGGTGCACAAGGTTCCTTGTGCTTTGGCTTGGGAAAGGACCGACTAGATGCTTAGGGGTTTCCGGGGGTTTGGGGTTTCGGGCGGGCTTATCTATATATAGGGTTACTACAACGGAACCGTACTGTTCAGGAAGGAAACACATATAGTTTAGAATACAGAGTTAGGAAGCTTCGATAGGGCTCAAGGGGTATCGAGGTTCCGGGTTGCCACGAACACTGACGTGTCTATGTCGACATAGACACTCGATGCTTGTAAGCTTTCGGGCTTGGTGTTTTGGGGTTTGCTTTTCGAGATAAAGTGCTGGATGGCTGATCAGTGCATGTAGTACAGTTAGAGCAGCATCGATGGGGCTCATGGAGTATCAGAGTTCTGGGAACCACAGGCTCGATGATTGCAAGCTTTCGGGCTTGTTGTGGGTCTTGCTTTAACAAACATGTAATGGCTTCTACGGGGGATTAACAGTCTTGGAGGTGTGTCTACAAGTAGAAAGATCGAATGATTCACTGACCAAAGCCAGTTCATGCACACAGAAGCAGCACGAGCGGATGAGATCAAAGGTTTTCCTTTGCGGCGCGGCTCTTCTAGCTGCTTGCCTGGCCCTACTTCTCTGGACTCTGGAGATTCGAGGAACGGGCCTGCCGATTTGGGTTATTGGGGAGCCTGTGGTCTTGAGTACATTCCAACGATCCTTAGGCGGGTTAAGCTATTAGGATATACAAGGCCCACCCTCAAATACCACGGAGCCCGACCAGAAGCCCCGATTAGCCTCGATCGATTCACACTCTGCTGCATCGCTTATTGAATATATACAGTGTTATCGATGTACATATAACAAGAAGTTATGAATATGTTACATATATACATACATACAGAAACCGAGGCAGTGTAAATCCCGCAAAGCTCGCATCCTGTACTGTCGCGGAACTAAGCACGTGTGCACTTTAGATCGAGCTCCCTCGCACAAGCTACACATGTAGCTGGCACACCCCTCGATCAGGTCTGTACACACCAGCAAGCAGACAGCATCTATGGATGATAACTGCAGAATTTCACATCAAGCCTTCCAAAGCAGACTGCATCTGCTCTTTCAGAAAGTGCGACATCATCGAAACCTCGGCGCTCTCTGTCACATCATCTGCTGTGATATACTCATCTTTGATGAGGAAGTCCACGTAGACTGCCAAGATCTCACCGGTCTTGAGGGCCAAAGCCTGCTTCATGGACCAAGGCACGTCCTTGTAGGCCGACGATGGCGAGAAGTTCGCGATTTCCCTTTTCGCGTTCTTCAAGAGAACTCCCACTGTGGCCCTGGTCCAATACACAGTCAACTGGCAATGCTCCGTGTCCAAGAGGTCCGCCTGCAGCTTACACTTCGTAGACTGGCAAACCGGAAGGCTGGGGAACAGCCGGGCATAGGCCACCATCTTCTCGAGGAGCTCATCTGCCGTCGACACCTCAAAGTACCAAAGGGCCTCCGGCAGCGTGATGCTGCTCAGCTCCGAAGCTGACTGCATCTGCGAAGCCCTGGCGTTGGCTTTGCCTTTCGCCTTTGCTTTTGCCTTTGGCGCTGGCGAGCCACCATCGACTGCATCCTCCTCGCGGGGGCGCTTGTTCTTGCCCTTTGCCGAAGCCTTCGCTTTTGGGGAACCCTTGGCCTTTCCACCGCCCTTCGCCGCCGCCTTTGCGGAAGCTTTCGCCTTGGCTTTCCCCTTGGCCGAAGCTTTCGCCTTAGCCTTTGGCTTTGCCTTCGCCACTTCCTCGCTCTCCGGCGTGGCAAAGGCTTTTGCCTTCGCCTTCGCCTTCGCTTTCCCCTTGGGCCAGCCTCTGGCCTTTGGCCGCTTCTCCGGCTCCGGCGTCTCGTCCGGCAAACCATCATCGGCCTCGACCTTCTCCACATCATTCGGCTCCATCTCCTCCGCTGCTCTTCATCCTGCGGAGCTTTTTGAGCTTGGATGGCTTGCCCTTGCTGGCCTTGCGGCTATTCTTCCTCCGACTCTTACGGGATCCTGTGGTAGCTGCATCCGCCTCGGATTTTGAGGCATGCCCACGCTTGTTCGCCGCCTTGAGTGACTGCCTCGTACGAAGCTGATCCTTTCGCATCACCACATCAGCTTCCTGATGAAACCGATCCCCACAATTTCTCAAAGATACCGAATCCTGGGCATAATATGGACCCCAAGTAAGTGCCAATAGCTTGTTGGGTTGGGCATATATCTTAACAACCCAGTTCTTATAGGAATCCTATGTATATATTTATATACAACCGATTCCAACCTCAGCTTCACTGGCAGTGAACTCTTCAGGAAGTTCAGCTTCTTCAGGAAGTTCAGCTTCTTCAGGAAGTTCAGCTTCTTCAGGAAGTTCAGCTACTTCACGAAGTTCAGGTTCTTCAGCAAGATTCGGTTCAGCTTCAGTTTCAGCACGGTTGCTGTCATCACCCAATGCAAGTGTAGAATCGGGCAACCCATCCCACGGCTGAGTTTCATCCGAATCGAGGCTGAAGGAGCTTCGGGTCGAAAGTGGTCCTGAAGCTCTTAAATCAATAATTGTTTGGGAAGAGAACACATGGAGTCTGATTCTCAAAGCACACTTGGAGTCCTGAACACTCGGAGCTGGCTGAGCTCGGGGGCGGAGTCGTAGTAGCAGAGTTCCTGGGCTGATAAGTTATGTTGCTCTTATATATATATATATATGTAGAAACCCAGAGCCAACAAAACTATTGTCGATCTAGAGGCTTGGAAGCAGCTTCGAGTTTCTGTCGAAGAAGAGCAACTCGAGCAAGCATTGCAGCACGATCGGATGCAGACAAAGATCGGCCTCAGCCAAAACCAAATCCAAGAATCCAGAAGCCCGATAAGTCTAGCCCCCAGAAAAGCCGAGAACGGATGAGGAGCCCACGTGGCGTGTCCGTCCACACCTCTTTGGCTGGAGCACGAAGATCCTGCAAAGTAGGCCGGGTTAGGTTGCTGGGGATTAACATACTAAGCCTGCCCTTCTATTAACTCGATGAATCGTGTCCTCTGAACCGGAACGCCTCAATGGTGCTGACGGTGGGGATGGAGTAATGCTAGGGGCAGTGGCGGTTGCCCTCCGGGCTGGGGTAGTCATAGGTGTCGAGGCACCTGATGTCGGGGTATTCGAAGCTGGAACATCCGTACCTGTTGTAGGCACAAGACTAACAGCATCGGTCGGTGAAGCTACGGCTGGGTTTGCCAGGGTCGGTGCGGCTACAGCTACGGCTGGGTTTGCCACAGGCAGTGCAGCTGGGCTTGCCCGAGCAGCTACGGCTGGGTTTGCCACAGTCGGTGCAGCTGGGTTTGCCGGGGCAGCTACGGCTGGGTTTGCCAGAGTCGGTGCGGCTGGGTTTGCCGGCGCAGCTACGGTTGGGTTTGCCAGAGTCGGTGTGGCTGGGTTTGCCGGCGCAGCTACGGTTGGGTTTGCCACAGAAGTCGGTGCAGCTGCATCGTTATCCGATTGCTCATAGTCATCTTCGTCGGATTCCTTTCCAGGGCTACAACACTGTTGAATTTTTGTTCGAGATGCTACTTCGTAATCAAGTCATTAAATTAGCAGCTTGCATTTATAAACACCTGACCCCTAGCCTCCTCCAGCACATCAGGCTGAGCTTGACGAGCTCTTAGGCGAGCGTTGATGGCATCCACAACTGCCTTCCATTGACAATCTCTCTCTCTCTCTCTCTCTCTCACTCTCTGTCCCCCTCTAGCAATCTTATCTCACTCTCTCCATGTCTGCATTTCTCCGAAGCAAGAATGGCCTGAAGGCCAGGGTCAAGGGTCAGGCACAGCTCCTGGAAGGTAGGATCCTTGGATATCAGAACCCAGTTCACCCTGTAAGCCCGGTAAGCCCTCGAATTATACCTATCAAACCCCACTACAAATAGAACCTCTAACATGCAATCGAAGATCCTGAGAAACTTCTTCTCGTCGGCATTTTGCTTTCACGAAACTGAGGAGTTTCCTAATGTGAGTGGGTTCCGTGCCAACGAACTTGGCCACTTCCGGCCCTGTGCGCTTGCTCGACTCAAAGAGAGCAGCAAGCTCCGAACGAAGATCCGGAACACTTGGTAGTTTCCGGGTCGCATCCCCTGCCATAGCAAGAAGAAGAGGACGAAGTAAAGAAGCATTCAAAGTAGCATTGTGATTGTCGAGACTCAAGGCAGACTTCTCGTGAATAGCACCGTATCCCGAGCGGATGCGCATGCGAATCTCTTCGGATGCATCCCACAACTTATGGACATCCCTGATATCCAATCCTCTTTCCACCGACTCGCCCATGGCCCAGAAGCCTACGAAGACCAAACAAAAATTGAGCTAAATAGCTGCAGGATGTATGATGAAAGCAAACACCTGATGAAAGCAAACACCCTCGGAGGCGATCACACCTTGAGCTCTGGGGATCTGGCACAATCGCTCTTGATGAAAAAGAAGTGGATGCCATTGCAGGGGCTGCGTTCGGATGGCACCTCCTTTTAAGATCGATCGAGCTATGTGCAATGATCTATATATCTTTTGGTCATTTAGTGAGTAACGACCCTCTTCCGAGGCAAGCCCTCTATCCACTTAAACCCTGTATAAAACCCTAGAATATCCCAAATCTCACTCCCACATGATTTAAGAATGGCCTTGCACACTGTGAGTGCTGATCCTGCAGAGGCCTCGGCCGCATCAAAGGGTTCGGGTTTCTCGTTCGGGGTCTTCGCAAGGGCTTCGGGTTTAGTACCTATATGGACCTTTATGTTATTTTGGGGAGTTCACTAGAACTTACAGATCATAAAACTTTCCGAAAGCTATCAATTGCATTGCTTCAGAGCCTATGCCTTCAAGACCCGGGGTTAGCCTCTGGACACGGGGTTTGCAGATCAAATGGACCTAAACATCGGTTCTAATATCAAACCCGACATTTTAATAGGGTTTGGGTTCCCCAGGTAAATCCTAAATCCACATGTATGTGTCTCCTCTTTCTCAAAATTTGCAAGCAAAGTTTTCAACAAGCACCTTCAAAGCCCCAAACCCCCTCAAAAAACATGTCGCTAACTCAAGCAAACGCAACTCGCTCCCGAAAACGGCCCAAAAATCCTGACGCATTACACGGTACATCATAAGGCCATGAAAAGAGACCTCAAGACCTGAAGAAAGCCAAAAACACCCCAACACTCTCAACCGCTACAGCAAAACCCTAAGAGCCTTAAAACAGACTGTGCAGTCCTCAAGCAAAGACCTTACAGTTTAGCTCATTATCCCAATGCCCGAAGCCCTAGATTTCAAACTCTAAAACCCTAAAACCCTAAACCCTAGAACGCTACACTCCAGAAAAGTACCCTTATAGATCCCTTTAAAGGAGCCCTAAACCTTGAAGGAACCTGAAGCCACAAACAAGCGGAAGGCAGAAGACTTAGCGGCCGAGCGTGGCTTCGACAAGCCCGTGGCGGCCTCCAAGGGATCGGACTCTTGGAATCTGGTACAGGGGCCTTAATAATTACGAATACTATTGTGGGGGCTCCTTATTGTACTCATAGTATCATGGGCCCCAAAACCCTATTCTAATTTTTAAGGCCCCTATATTAGGTGTTGAGGGCTTCTCTGGGGCTTATATGGGGGCTTACGGGGTTTGTATCGGGTTATGTAGGGTTTATATGGAGATTGTTTTTAGAGTTCAAGGTTCGGGGTTATCGAGGGCTTCCAAATGCCGGGGATCTTTTTCTTTCTCGGGGAGTCCTCCTACCAGTGATCACTGCCCTTTTTTGGGCCCACCATTTTTGGGGCTGCTGGAATCCAGCGAGCTTAAATCTCTACTTTCCGATTTGGCCGGTTCAAACCGGTCTTTACAGGTGCAGTCGGTTGTTGCATGACTGAGGAGAGTTGGGCTCTTGGTATCTTTCAAGGGCCTCTGGTGGTTTCAGGCATTAGGGGCTTTTTGGTGTGTCGGGCTTTGAGGGCTCAGGCTCTACTGTAGGGGCGTAGAGAACTTTGCTATGGGATCCTTAATGGGGACCCCTACCCTATAATGGGCTATATACTGGGTATATAATAGCTATGTTAAGGGTATTACGCATATTTTGGGTTTTTTTACTTACTGTAATGGCCCCCCAAACACTATTCTAATTATTCAGGCTCCTACGGTAGATTCTGAAGGCGCGGGGCTTTCAGGGTTTAGGGTGCTGCGTTTGAGGCTCTTCGGTGCCACCCGCCTACGCAACCAAAACATGCAAAATAGTTGAATACTTATCTCTGATGAAAGGAATGATACCAGTCATAACCGGAACTATTAGTGCAGCTGTGCTGGTAACCTGCATCTGTAAGTGCAAGAAGAGCAAACCATACTGAGTAGACCGATACTCTTAAACCCTAAACCCGCAAACCCACAACCCTACACACTTAAACTTGATACTCTTAACCCCTATAAACCCTGAACCCTAAAAAGATTTAAACCCTTAATCCTAAACCCCATTAAACCCGAAACCCTAAACCGTGGCTATAATGACCCAAAGGGTCCTATGTACTACTATGACCTAGGGAAGTATCCCCCATAACAGTACACAGGACCCTTTGGGTGAATAGCAACTCCGAAGGATGGCTTTCTGCCGGGAATGGAGCGGTGGCCTCTGGCGCGGGCCCCCAAGGAGATGGCCCGGGAGGTCGGGGCGAACAACACGGCGGCAACGCAAACGTGGGTCCCGTGGCCTCAATGCGGCTTCTAAGGGGTTTAGGGTTCAGGATTTACCTGGACCCTAAGGACCGTATACCTTTTCAGGGCCCCCTAGTATGACTTCTTTATATAAGTCCCTAAAAAGGTAGGTTGTTTGGGGTTGAGGTAGGGCGCATAAGGGTAGGGGCCTAAATAGTTACCTATAGTATTTTGGGGGTTCCTTATACTAGAATTACAGTATAATGGGCCCCAAAACCCTATTCTAATCAATAAGGCACCTATATTGCCACCCCTTCGTAAAACAAAGAGAACCTCAGGTGCGCACCGGCGCAATCCCACGTGTGATTGAAATCCCAGAGCTCCATCGTCCTCGACCACGAAGTGCGGCTTTGCTGGGTTTGTGAATTGGTACCCTATAGAGTACGGTTTAGGGTTTAGGGTTTAGGGATGTTAAGGACCCCAAAATAATGTACCCAAGTTTTCGGAAACTTTCATCTCCAGGCAAGAGGCGATGTTGTTCGTTTGCTGAGGTTCCCCACAGCCCTTCAGGTTCTTGTTACTCGTGCTGCGGCATCGTATCGGAATCCGACTGAATATGCGGATATTGGGCCTTCTGCGATATCCGGAGTTGACGTTGCAATGTAGTTGCGATGTTGCAGGATAGTTGCCACGTCTAGCTTCGGCAGCTTCCCAGCTTAAAACTACTAAATCCTAACTCGTGTTTGCCAAGACCTCCCTGGACCGTTACTGATGAGAAGCATAGGGCAGTAAGAAGATTGCCCGTAGTAGAACTGTTTGTGTTAATTAATAACTTAATAACCCGAAAACCCACACCCGTGGTAGTCAGAATGGAAGTCATGGTCATGCACCCGAGCCCGATGCGTACTGTGTCAAACCATGAAACCCTACGGACACTTTGCCTATATAGCAATCACAAAAACCCTTAACCACCTCCAACAAAAGCTTACCTGCAAGCCTTGTAGCAAATAAAACGCCAAAGGCCATGAAAAGGCCCTTAAACTTTAAGCCATATATGCCCTATAAACCCTAAATTTTTAAACCCTAAACCCCAGAACCCCTAAGGAAAGCCCGCCTCGGGAGCGTACAGCCGCCGCCGAGCTGGCTGCCGTCGGAGCGAGCATCGCAACGAAGGCGCTGGTTTGTAACAGTTGGGTTTGGCGTTTCCGCGTTCAGGGTTTGGGTTTTGGGTTTCTGGTTGAGTTTAGGCCTGAACATCGAGGGCGCTCCTTCTCGCTAGGCTGAGCGCCCAACGAAGAGGGCCTAGTGGGGGGCTGAAAACGTACCTGCAAAACTCGCCACAGGCACCGACCTTCGCCACTGGCCCCCAAAATCTAACATGCATGTTTGTTTATCGGATGTTTTCAATATTTGTTGCTCTAAGAGCCGAGTTAGAAATGGGTAATTACATGGCTCCTGTCCTGGAATGGTTCTCTCAGGGGGCTGTCAGATTTAATAGTCAGTGAGTGTGGCTTAGGGTAGAATATCGGGACTTGGGGTCAATACCAAGGCCATCCAAGACCGCAATACACGTACTTTTCATAGGGGTCGGCAGATGATAGTAACATCTCTTGTGCAAGGACTGTCCGGCCACGAGCAATCAAAGTCCTAGTGACCCAAAGGCTCCTATGTACTGTAATGGGAATTTACTTCCCTAAGCCATAAAAATAATTCCTAATATGGAAACCCTACATTCTACTATATCGGTACATAGGACCCATTGGGAGAGTATTGAGGCTGAGACTTGATACGCCTGTTTGGCGGCTGGGATTGGGATTGATACCCAGCGAGTCCAATACCTGTAATCAAGGAACATTCCTTAAAGCGTCTCAAGAATTTTCCAAAGGGTCATTATAGTTGATGCACGCAATGCGGATGGCCGCCAAAGCGACATGAACGTGTTCATCCCTTGAAGGCTTTTGCTGCGACAGCCACCGCCATGCGGGAACGCTCTGCGACGGTGGCGGCCCTGGTTGCTACCCGGCTGCGTACGCTATGAACAACATCGCATTCGGACTATCCAGGGCCCCCAAACTTTGCCCCAAACCTCAAACCCTGAAGCCTTCATCACAGGTTTTTTCAGTCTGCTCAAGTGCTCGCCTTGCGGCCGACCTTCCTAAACACAATGCCCCCTTAAGCCCTACACCCTAAAATCCCTAAAGCCTAAACCCTGGGCCCTAAAGCCAAAGCCTGCCCCATTTGGGGCTCTCCAGACCGGCCGCGGGATAGAAAGAGGTGCTTTAAAAACACAAAACAAAGCCCTACGTCTGCCAGTAAAGGGAACTCCAGAAAGTTGGAATATGGATTAATGGTAGGATCCCCCATAATTTACCTATTCCAACTTTCTGGCTTCTACTGTAAGTTTGTTCGGCACAACACACTTCCGTCCTTCAGTGGAGCTGAGGCCCGATTCCCTAAACTAGGGCCCCAAAAAAGCACATAGGAACAAATTGGGATAGGGATATCCCATACTAAGATGCCCAGTAGTACCCTTATTCCCTTTTTCTAGTCCTAGGTTCCTTACTAAGTTACCCAATACCCAAAAGGGAGCTCTTCTTATTCCTGGGTTACTGGGCATCCTAGCATATAAACCCCCTTAAAATGAAGTCCAATAAGTGCCAATAAGGTAGGTGGGGGTCCCTATAAACACTCCTTGGGGATTGCATAGGGACTACTCTGGGGATCCATGCCCTACAAAGCACCAGACAGTACAGGATGCACAGTATCCCAAGCGACGGTTGGATGATGACGACGACGACCTCGCTGCCATCGCTATCCTCCCAGTGGCTTGTCTTACACGTTTAGGGTTTAGCGTTTAGGCTGCACGAGTCTTGGAAGGTTTAGGGGTCTAGCGTTTGACGATGAGCAGATTTAGGGCCCTCGATGGGTTGCAAGCAAGCACATGCCATCCATGGAAACTGAACGTCCAGTTGCGAAAGTACCTCATCCTAGATGTCCACTGGCCCCTACTAGTACCAAATAGTAGGATCGAAGCTATTACTGTTGGATCCATAAGCCCTGAACTCGGCACTGTCGAACTTCTGCGGGCTTCTTGGGTTTGAGACGGGTGTTATTCACGGAGTATGGAGTATGAGGGTCGGAGTTGGACTTTTTTCAAGCATGCTTGATTAGTAGGTCATGATCCCTGCAGTATAACAGGCAAAAGCCTCTAAGGGTTTCTAGATCCCCGAAATTCTAGCACCTTATGTTTAATCTATAGCCTTGGTTCTTTGAGCCCATAACCCCAGCGTTAGACCCTGCACTAACCTCTGAAACCCTTGGGCATGGCGGTCGCATCGACAAAAGCAAAAGCCACATCACCGACGACATTACAGATCATGAGATCCGGTGCAAGTGTGTGTGTGTGTGTGTGTGTGTGTTCGGGTTTGCACTGTTTTGTCGGAGCCGAGCAACCTGTTGTCAAGAAAAAGATGGTTTCAGAGTTCGCCTTTCCTGTCAGGGGAGTTTTTATGGGTGGTTGTCAAAATGATGGCCCCTTTTTGGAAACCCTACATGTTAGGCGCCGTACTATATTAGGGACCCAAAAAGGGACCATAATTTTGACAACCACCCATATAAGGTTTGCGTTAAAGGGGCTTGCAGGTTGAGCCTTTCCGGCTCCTGCTAATTAAAACTCGATCTAGCGCGTATGTGAGTTACTTCAGCCCTCCTTAGGGGCACCTACATTTTTTAAAAAATCTTGTGTGATTACAATCCTTAAGAAACAGCTAAAATCAAGATTTTTGCTAAAGGTCTAAGTTCAGTTTAGCCTCAGGTACAAGAATGACACACACACACACACACACCCTAGACCCCTAAACCCCTAAACCCTCAAATCCCCAAACCCCTAAACCCCTAAACCCCTAAACCCCAAGCAAAGCTTCACCTGTGAGGCGGAGCTGGTGGCCCAGGTGCGCCCGGAGCCGCTTTCGCCGGAGGCCACTGAGGCGACTAAGGCTCCTGCACCCAAGGCCTGGAGTCTTACTTCAAAGGGGAAAAGGAGGGACCCTTAATGGGGACCCCTAGGTTTAGGGTTTAGGGTTTATGTAACGGAGCGAAGAGAGCCGCAATGTTGCGTGCTTGCTTTCGCCCACTACAGTATGTAGGATCCTCCAAAACAAATACTCCTGCAAAGCGACAAATTCCAGAGTTAATCTGTTCGAGTCTCGAGAAGTCGGCTGCACATGAAGTCTTCATAGTTGTACAATGGAAACCGGAAACCGAAGGGGGTTCGGGGATTTGTTTATGGCTCTAGGGCTGGAGCTTCGCGGGTTTTGGCTTTATAGGCTTGACGGGTGTGGGCGCTGTAGGGCTTTAGGAGTTATCCGGGTAAGGGGTAACCCTACATCCCAAGCGCCCCGCACCGGCAAGCCTAACCGTTGTGCCTCGTCCACCTCCCTAAATGCTCGGAAAGCTATAAAACGGCCCAAAACCCTAGCTTGTAATGCCTTCGGTCAACTCATCTTAAGCCCGATAAGCGTGTCACCAAACCCTAAACCCGAAACCCCCTAGACCTAAGAGCTGCAAGGCACCTTGGATCTAAATTGATTTAAACTAAACCTTGTGGAGCTCTTGTTGAATCAACATAAAAAGCACAAAACCATACGAACCCCAAATCACACCCAAGTCCTACATCCTTCCAACACTTTACTAAAGCCCAAAGCTATACAACGCTAAATCTAACTCAAGCCTACAGTTTCTAGATCCTGATTTAAGTTCGTTGTGAAAAGGAAGCTGTACAAGCCAAAGCCACACGATAAAAACCCTATATCAGCCTACATCGTAAATCCGGGGCCGTACAAATCCTAAACCCTAGACCCTAAACCGCGCCTAAAATTTTAAAACCCCAAAACCCAAACCCTAAGCACTGAAACGCTAAATCCCAAATCGCAAGCCGTTCCTGGCAGGCTCGGCCGGCTCTCAACCGAGCCCAAACGGCTGAGGTGCGACGGCGCAGAAGTGGCAAAGCGCAGGATCAGGCGCCAGCCGTTCTGGGCTCGCAGGGCCTAGGGTTTGGGGGTTTTGAAAGCATGGAGATGAGGTTCTATAGCGGCTCTAGACGGCTTAATCGGGTTTGGGGTTCAGGATGACTGCAGCAGTTTCTAGATTTCGGTTCTCAGAGTATTGATTTCAGGGTTCCGAGGGAGTGAAACCCGAAAGCCTGGAACCCAACAGTAAAAGGTCATTGTGCTCTGTCGATTTGTGTCGGGATTTTCGGGCTCGTAGTGTCTGTCGTCGCGCTGGATTTTTGCTTCTGCTCCGTGAACTAAACTACTGACCACAATCTATGTGCGGGGCACGGCTCGCTCTTGCTAGGTTCATGATGCTAGATTGCTGCTAGATAATATACAGTAATGACTAGCTATCCAACAACCCAGCTAATATTAGCGCACAAAGCAATAGCGATAGTTGAACATATTGGTAACGATGGCTTGCGACTCAAGGTGCGGACCTAGCTTTGAGTTTTGGGTTGGGAAAAATCACTGCCACCGTTGATGCATACCTCCTCTGAGCTGTTCTGTTGTTATGAGGATCAGAGCACACAGCTGGTGCGAATCTTACTGGCCATCACTTGTACTACGAAGAGCAGTGTTTGGCACCGCGTCGTTTCCTTTTAGCAACAATTACTCAGCGAAAAAGTATCTCTGTATCACTTGAAGGAAGCATAGCATATTTGGTGGTTTCAAGCCTTTTTAACATAAGCAGAGAGCCTGTACAAGACCTAGACAGCCCATCCCCCACAACAGGAAATGCCCTGTAAACTTGAACTTTAAACGTATAGGGCGCTAGGTTTGAAGGAAGTTTGTCCTTGACTTCGAAAACCTAGAACCTGAAATCCTGAAACCGTGCCCCACAAACCCCAAATGCACAAATCCATATGTATGTATATACACCCTGAAACACGAAAACAAGCAGAACTCTAAGATGTCATAAAACCTGTGTAACAACACTGATCTGGGAGGCCTTATGATGCTGTCTTTGCAAGCCCTTACCAACCGCGTGAAGCCACATGCACGCCCTTGAACATCGTTCCCCAAGCCTTCAAAACTTAACGCCCTAAAGAGTTCAAGGATTTTGTTCTACTAAGGCCCAGAAGCGTGTAGATCCTGCAGACTTCCGATGATCCCCTACCGTACCCTAAACCTTAAACCCCTAACCCTAAACCCCAAACCCCTCAACCTTAAACCTTGTGGTCATCAGCAGTTCCTCAGTTCCTGAAGCTGGGAGGTGGCTCGGAACCGGAGCACCGGCCTCCGGCAACTTGGACCTGGACCCAAAAGTATGTGGATGGTTGTCAAAATGAGGGCCGCTGTTTGGGCACCCTTGATATTAGGTGCCGTATTATATTAAGGACCCAAAAAGGGACCATAATTTTGACAACCACCCATGTAGAAGAATAGCCGTTTATGGGTATTGGGCCATTATTTTACCTACTTCGGGGTCTAGGGAAGGTCTTCGTTGTTTAAGGCGTTATGCAGGGTCCGTTGAGATAGAGAGTCTATAATGTCGTGTGATAATTTATAATGGTTCAACGAGGGTTCCACAAAGGCCTTTTAGGTTCTTGTCTTGGTTCCGCGGTCGTTTTCGAGTTTTGAAATGGTTCTACAGGCTGCTACCAGGATCCTGGTGGTTGGGGTGGTTTACTTGGAGGGTCGGGGGACTTAGTAAGTAGGTAGTAAGTAGACTTATAAGTACCCGAAAAGGGACCCTAATTGGGGTTATGGTACTTATAAGTCCTTAACATAACCAGTTACTAAGTCCCCCGACTCCAAGTAGTGTTTCGGGGATTCAGGAGCTGGGTCGCGGCGTAGGGTTCCAGGCCAGCTTCAGGCTTACATAATGTGGGATCTACGTGAAGTCGATTTTGTGCTACATCCCTCGTAAACACAGGCAGCCGGGGCATCGAACTCTGCTGGTGCCTAAAACGAAGGCCCTAAGCTTAATCCACAGGCCTGACCTCCGTAAGTTTTCGGATGCTATAAGGGCCTTAATCATTAGAATAGGGTTTGCGGGCCGATCATACTATTGATATAGGCAAGTATCTTGGCCCCTACAGTAGTACGGTGCGCCATTTCGTGAAAACTGCGTCTCAAGCGATTTTTAGATTTGGACAAGCCCGTATGCTGAACCGCAAAATCCTGAAAGAAAAGTGCATTCAAAGCAGGCCATTGATTGCTGACGGGTTGGATCAAAAGCACACTACAACCCTCAACCCGACTAACGAAAACCCTTCTACCAGGGCCTCAAAAAGAAACAAAACTTCAAAAGCGCAACCTAAACACTCAAAGCAAGAAGCTTCAAAACTGTGCCCGAAATAAAACCGAACAAAGCCTGCCTGAAACACATTACATAAAACTAAAGATAAACACGGCTGGGGGCTGGCTGAAACATATGGCACAACGGCAAGCAATCTAAAACCAAAGAACTAAACCCTAGACCAAAAGTACCCAGGTTTCTAAGTAGTACCCTTTTTCCCTTTCTTTATTGACCGAGTAGTAGGAAAAAGGGTGCCCTTATTATAAAGGGTTACGTATCCAGGAACCTATAGCTAACCATCCTAAACCCTAAACTCCAAATCCTAAACCCTCAAACCCTAAAGCGAGTTTTGGAGGAAGGGGCGTCATCGCACCCAAAAATGCCCACAGCCCGAAATCCTAAAACTCTAGACCCTGAAACCCTAAGCCCCCAAACCGTAAACCCTGAACCCTAGACCAAAACTCAACACAGCTGAGGGCCATGCCCTAAACCCTAAAACCTTAATTCCTAAACCCTAGACTCCTAGATCCGAAATCCTAAACTCGTAAATCCTACAAGTAACCCTTAAACCCCAGACCAAACTCAACACAGCTGTCTGGTTCTTAGTAGGGAACGGGGGAATGGATCCCTATGATAGTCCTTTATCTGGTCCCCTATAGTAGTCCATTAACCCATTCCCCCATTCCTTTCTACAGTAGAAGCCAAAAAGTTGGAAACCCAATAGCCTCAATCCTTAAGAGTCATGTATAAGGAATCCCAGCACTATTTGGCCTTAGTCCGGTTTCCAACTTTTGGGGTTTACTGTACTGTAAGAACCAGACAGACAGCTGAGGGCCATGCCCCAGAACTTTGGCAGCCTCGAGTTGATGCTCTCGGGCGGCGGGGCGCTGAAACAGAAGCCGAAAGCCCTGGCGAAGAGGTGACAAGGTTTAACCGTTCAACCTTAAGAAACTCTCAAGAGATACAATCCTTATGATTTACTGAGCCCGATACGAGGTATCGATTTGGGATAGCTGTTAATGTTCCTTATTGTTTAACATAGAGCTTTACTTCATAAGTTTGGGGACTCTTGAAATCGACACATGGTTTAGGGTCCAACAGGGTTCTATGGGCTTTGAAGATCTTTGAAGGTTCTACTAGGTTGGTTTAGGGTTTAGGGTTCTAAACGAGTTCTATAGGGGGTTTGTAGGTTCTAGATTTCTGATCGGGGTTGCGCTTATATAGGGGCGTGAGGGTTGCAAAAGGTTGATAAGAAGCATCAAGATATTAAGGTTTCGAGGGCATTTTACGGCCAATTACAAGGGTGTCATTAATAGGGTGTCATGGATGGGTTTTGGAGGGGGTGTCATTAGAAGGGTATCATGGATGGGTTTTGGAGGAGATTTACAGTTCATATTCACTGCAGGGTTTTCTGTGGTTCGATACGGCTTGGGGTTTAGGGAGGAGGCTGTGGGTTCGTTTAGCGGGGATTATTTTAGCCTCAAAATGTTTTGCTGGAAGGTCTCGGCTTGCAAGACGGTTCTATAACAGGTGTAAAGAGTCAGGGGTTACCACAAGTGATTCTGGAATGGTTCACTAGAAGTTTTAGAGATGTCAGGTGTAGGATTACCTCGTAGGGTCTGCTACTCTACGGCCTAGGATAGGGTTTACGGGTGACTACAAGCGCAACCCTAATCCCTAAACCCGCATGCGGGGCTTGATCAGGTAGGGCAAAAGGGATCCCAAGCCCTGGCGAGGAGGAGATGTCGTTGAGGTTTATGGTAAGTAAACTCCAAAAAGTTGGAAACCTAATTAAGGACAAATCGTGCTGGGATTCCCTATACTTTGCGCTCAGGGATTGAGGCCATCGGGTTTCCAACTTTTAGGCTTCTGCTGTAGGGTTTAATGTCTTGCTCCTGGTGCTTAAAAGTTGAGGGCTGCAGGGTTTACCTTAACCCCACGTGACCTACCTTGTTTGGGGATTTATATAAAGAAATCATATTAGGGGGACCCTAAAAATGCAGGTTCCTTAGGGTCCAGGTAGGGCTTGAAGTTTCAAAGGTTGTTCAGTACGACGTGCATTCGTCGGCGTTCTGGGGTTTTGGCTTCGTTCAGTAGGGCCTCTAAGGTGTTTTAATATCCAGACGAATGTCTGAGTCTACAGCGAGAGCTTAGGGCGTTTCGGTGTTGGGGTTTCGGTTTTAATAGTCCCAATCCATCGCCAAGAGATGCGGCTTCGGGCTGCTTGGGTTTGCTTTGTTGGGGCTGTATTTGGCCGTTCCAGGGTCTCGTTTATACAAGTTGTGCATGATTGAAACTCTAACCCTAGACCTAAACCGTCTTAAGTGCCTTCCTTAACGGTGTGATGATCGTTCGACCGCGTAGGGCTTCGAGATTAGTTTGACCGAATGCTCTACACTTTTGCACTCGGAGAATCAGTCGCTGCCTATGGGGATCTGCGCCGACGCTGGAACGGCTGTTGTCACAGAGTGCACGCTAGTTCATGGGCCCCAGTGTACAAGAAGAGTGACGATGACAGTTTAATAGTTGGGCTGAATCTGAGGAGCTGGATCTCCAACAGTATTGACTTATAGCTTCAGCATAACGACTAGACCTGGTGGGGTCAAAGAACTCAGCAGGAAATCTCGGAAAGTCTGTTACTTGGCCAATCTTGAGTTCGGGTCCCTCACAGACACTTGTTTCTTGACAGCGGCATGTCGCTTATTGTACTCAGGACCGCACAAGAGTTCGGAAACTAGCAGAGCATCCACATCGGGACTTGGTGGTGTTGTGGGGAATCTGGGTTCTTGCTAAGGAGCTTAATTTAAGTTGCCACAAAAAAAGAACCCTGCTATTTTTGATAGATCCTATTATGGTAGCTTGAATTAAACTCCTTTATAAGAGCCCGGGAATTGATGGTGTAGGGTATAGGGTCATTGTGTGCGCGTGTGTGTGTGTCGGAGTTTGGTTTTAAGTGGAGAGTGGGTTCGTGGCGACTCCTGCAGACCGCATGCTTCAAGTATTCATGTGAGTGGTTGTCCAAATTATGATCCCTTTTGGGTCCCTAATATAGTATACGGCACCTATTATTTAGGGTACCCAAAAGGGGACACTAATTTTGACAACTACCCATGTAGAGTTCCGTGAGGACGGAGTTTGCAAGGCATAAACGGCATGAGCTCCAATTCCGACGTTCCCATGGGCGCGGTAGCTTGCATGTGCGCTGCTGTGATATCTTTGTGCCAGCAGCGGCAAAGGCTGCCAGCAGCTGATGCCAAAGCCCGCATCGGCTGGATGAAAGCCCAGCTTCACTAATCACTACACCGTAACCATGCCCTTAAATGAACACTATTTCGTAGAGCTCTACAGTATCCTCCGAATCATAAACTCTGTAGTCCTTACATAGTCCTGTATTCTTATATGGGAGTTTCCGAAAATTGGGGGTACCTTGTTTTGGGGTCCTCATAATAAGGCTCCTACTATTTAGGGTATATACTAGATTTGGGTCCCCTATTTTTGGAAACTCCCATATGATACCCCTCTGAAGCGCTTTATATGGGCCTGGGTCCGAACATCCTCAGGACTAGAGGTGGTAAGCCTCAGTACTTAGGGTTTAGGGTTTAAGGGTTTAGGATTCAGGGGTTTAGGGTTTAGCGTTTAAGGGTTTAAGATTTAGGGGTTTAGGATTTCAGGCTTCAGGGTTTAGGATTTAGGGGTTTAGGGTTTAGGGTTCATGGTAGGTACTTGGTAGATATTTGGGCGCCAATACCATCACTCGGACCCTTTGGGTTTGGGGCTCGGACTAGTTGTCAATACTATTCCCTAGGGTTCCTTACTTTATTTAAGAGTTTAAGATAAAGTGTGCTGTAGCAGAGCCAAAAGCCTTGTTGCAGGTATTAAGGCCCCCATTACCACTAAGATGCCCAGTAATACCCTTATTCCCTTTTTGTAGTCCTAGGTTCCTTATTTTTAAGTTACCCAATACCAAAAAGGGAGCCCTTTTCATTCCTAGATTGCAGGGCATCCTAGACCGTGCTTTCTAGGGCTGGGAGGGCCTTGGCCGGAATTGACAGATTCACCGTGTCACCCCTGAGCTTGGCAAGCAAAGTCCTGTCAATTCGGGATGGCGATAATCCTCCACAGTGGCAACAGAATTACAGTTTATGGGGTTTAGGGCTTACAGTTTAGGGCCACACCCACCCCTCTCAGCAGGGTTTTGCACACGCTTCAGGACATGATTCGAGGGTCTGGCTTTCGACAGCTTTGCTGTTTTGGTCGTGTGAGTTGCACGCTTTGTCGTGGTGATCGCCAGTCTCTGCATCAGCAGCGTTCGGATCCCATTCGTGCTCAGACTATACTGTACCATTCCTATGGGGCATAGACACTGAAGAAAGGGTTTTGAGTGCAATGTACAGTCCTCCACAGCCCAGCTCCGAATCATTGTTCGTAGTAGTACCCTAGGGATTTAAGGACTCATATATTAAGGCTTTTGGGCCCAAAGACCATACTATATATATATATATATATAAGGCTGTTGTGCTATTTTGACCCCTAGGGGTAAGTATTGAGGCTGCAACGATAGTCGCTGACTTGGGTCTCGTGGCACTCATCATTTTTGCCAAGGTTGCTCTTGTTGTAAATCTTATAGCAACCCATATACTAGCCCTGAGACCACCTAAACTCTAAACCTCCAAGCGCTAAATGACCCTAAAGCCCTATATGGGAGTGTCCGAAAATTAGGGGTACCTTATTTGGGGGTCCTTATAATAAGGATCCTACTATTTAGGGTACCATATTAGGGTCCCCTATTCTCGGAAACTCTCATATCCTAGACCATCAACCCCGAACCCTGTTTTAACCCCAAATTTCAACCCCAAGCTGTAGCCCGAAACCCTTAAACCCCAAGCCCTAAACCCTACCGCCCTAGCCCCCAAACCCGAGACCACAATAAAGAGGCCTCCATAATTGCCTATACTATTTTGGAGGGTTCCCTGTTATAGTTGCAGTATGGGCCCCAAAACCCTATTCTAATTGCTAAGGCCCCTATACTAAGCCCTTATGATTATGGCAACCCTTATAGTAATCCTTACAGACTCCTTTGAAAGCACCCTTAACTTAAAGGAACCCCTATTCCAATGTTTAAGGCCCCTCTATGTTATAGTACCCTTGTAAATCCCTCGTAGTAACCCTCAAATAGCACCCTTTAAAAGGAACCCTTATTCTACTTATTAAGGCCCCTTATACTAAATTCCCGGGCGCAGCAGAGGCCTCAGCTCCGGCAGCTCAGCGCCACCCAAGCGGCGCATGCAAAGGAGCAGAAGCCGGGGAACCCGGTGCTGTCTCAGGTTTAGGATTTAGGGCTTAGGGTTTAGAGTAGTTTAGGGTTTAGGATTTAAGGTTTATATAGGGTTGAGGGTGATATCTCTAAGCTTTGCGCGTTGCGGCTGGTCCAAGCTAGGCAGTGAACCATGCCTTGCGTAGAGTGTAGATGTAGTACAGATGGCAGCGGAGGTGTGCCTTGCGAACATGCTTAATTAGAGGGTTTTAAGGGCCTTAATGGCCTAAGGCTAAATCCCGAATGCCAAACACCATCATGACAATCGTTCTTGTTTTCCAGCATCAGCAGCCAATGCTCCGCAGTTCGATCGCCATCACCACCAAGGTTTTGCATTGATGGTGCATGCTGTGCGATGTAGAGTAGCACTCGCAGTACTCACGGTGGCAGTAGCAGCGCATGCCATGGCCGCCGCCACCGCCACCAGCAGCACAATCCCACAGCAGCAGCAGCAGCAGCAGCAGCAGCAGCAGCAGCAGCAGCAATATCAAAAAGAACCACTAGAAGGACTAGAAGGACTAGCACGAGTAGCAGGACTACTAGTAGCAGTAGCAGCAGTTGTCGGGCTAGTGCTTGTCGTCGTCCGAGTAGCAGTCGCAGCAGAAGGAT